AATTCAGTAGATTAGGCCCAGGGGAGTAAAAGAAGTGGGATAGGAAAAGGAAAGACAGTGTAATGAATGACACAATTTTCCTAAGTACCTATATGAAAACACCACAGTGAATTCCACCATTGTGTACAATCACAAGAATGGGGTCCTAATTAGAAAAAGATATATTCCATGCTTGTGTAATTATATCAAAATGGATGCTACTGTCATGTATAACTAAAAATAAACAATGAAATTTTTAAAAAGAAAAGAAAGAAATGAGGATATTGTTACCTTTAGACACAGGAAGGACAATAATTAGAAAATGAGATGTTGATGTTTCATTTCTTGAGTTAGGCTGTGGCTACATAAGTATCCTCTTTGTTATCATTTAACAAGGCAAACAGGATTCTTGTCAATTACAAATTAAAATGCAAACTTGATAAATGACCTCATGTAGAAACATTTCTGTTTCTAACAAAAATCACTGGCCTTGACCATTTCCTCTCATGCTGCCTGAATTTATCTCCTTTATTCTTCTATATTGGGTGTCCTTTGAGGGGAGTGTCCTATCAGTTTAAATGTTTCAATTTCTCTTCTCTAGTGAGTTGTCAGCTGCATTTTGATACAGCCAAGGACGGAAAGTCACCCTGAAGCTGATCTTCTTTTTTCTGCAAAGAATCTATTGAGCAGGTCCAGTGTGGTGGACACACCTATTATAATCCCAGCAGCTTGGGAGGCTGAGGTAAGAAGACCTTGAGTTCAAAACCAGCCTCAGCAAAAGCGAGGTGCTAAGCAACTCAGTGAGACCCTGTCTCTACATAAAATACAAAATAGGGCTGGGGATGTGGCTCAGTGGTTGAATGCCCCTGAGTTCAATCCTCAGTACCCACCCCCCAAAAGCAGGTTCCTGTCCACAGAGAGAGGCTCAACAAAACTAAGTACTGTGTTAGCAAAATGAAAATCAACAGTGTTTTGAATGGCTTCAAATGTTATCCTTTTGGGGTAAGTTAGTCCCCAAGGAGGAAATGTAAGGATTAATGGTTCTAGGCATGTGTCCTATAAGGTAGTGTTAAGTGAACATCAATTGCTAACAGATCTGTTAAGAAATTAAGATACCTCTATGGCATATGACCCAGGATCATTGTCATTTACCCAAGTGCTGGGAAAGAACTTCCCCCTGGCAGCCTTGATGGCAGGAGCAGAAGAGTTAGCCTCCACCAGCTCAGAGAACACTGCCAGAACACAGAGCACTTGTACTCCATGGAGCCTTGCTGAGGGGTCTCGTCCTAGAAAACACTCAACCTTGTTCCTGGAGCCCCATTTTGTGCCCAATATTTCTCAACCACTTCACTCCATCAGCAGTGAGTACTTGAGCACCTATTGGCCCAAGCCTCTGCCACCTCTAGGGAGTATTATTACTTCAATTTGTGTCATTCCTACTGCTGTGGGCTGTCCTAGCATCCAGGGATCTGGTTGGAAGGGGGATTTGAAATTGTTTTAATTTAAAGATGCTGCAGTTCAGTTTCCAGAGTCTCCTTCATAGTGAGTAGCACTGATAACAATACTCATGATGAGACAGGACCATATCTGAAGCCTGAATACATAATCATATGGGGTGAAATATCAGAAGGAGAGATGGGAACTTTCTTAAAAGTTGTTTTCAAATGAATTTATAATTACAAAATATTTGTCAAAATATATATTGAACAATTATAAGGAAGGCTAGTATGAGTTTTGGGGACTCATATCCAACTGAAAACATAAATGATCAGACATGGAATGTGAATGTGATGGTAACAACAGTGATTTAGGAGATTTAATTTTTAATATTTAAGTGCAGGAGTCAGAATGCCATACAGAGTGTATCTGCTATTGTTACATCCTTACTGTCTCTTCTAAGTACTAGGGTTGTGATAAACCAACACCAAGCATACTCACAAAAAGTACCTATATAAACACTAAAACTCCTGAATTCCTGTGATGTACAGCCCATAGCAAATGCACAGAAAAAGTGTCTACTTATAAGTTATACAATCATTTTCAGGAAGCATAACCAATAAGTAGGACTGGGTAACTTTCAGAGTAACAGAATCAATGCTTTACATAATAACAAAGTGTTTCTTTTAAATGTTTCTCTAGGAGATCCTTTATTTGGGGTTCCTCAGATGCATATATCTTCATGAATCCGGGACAGACAAAGGTTTCTAAAGACAGAGGAAAGCAAATAACTATAAAAGAAAATACTGGGGGACATCTTCAAAATTAAAAATATCAGCACATTAAAATCCATCATTACAAAAACAAATAGGTTAAGCCACAGACCAGAAAGCTAATTTGTACAAAATATTTATCAAGGGATTGTTATGGCATATAAAGAACTCCAACTTAATAATAAAAAGGCAAATCTTTTACCCATGTAAAAGATCTCAATAGATACTTCAGAGGAAGATACACAAATGGCCAATAATCAGACAAAAAAGCTCTAAAACATCATTAATCATCAGGGAGATGAAAAATTAAAACCATAAAAGCACAAAGCATACATTAGAAATGGATAAAATTAAAATGCTTGTCAACACTAGACTTTGGTAAGTATGCAGAGCAACCAGAACATTAACATGCTCTTGTGGACTATAAAATGGTATAACCATTTTGGAAAAAAATGTTCAGCAGTTTTTTATACAACCAAGCATATGACCCAGTAAATATTCTCCTAAGTATTTGTCCAAAAGAACTACAAACTTGTTCATCAAGACTTATACAAAAATGTTCATGATAGTTATCTAGAATACCCCAGGCCACAAACAGCTCTGATGTATATCATATAAACTGTGGTATAGACATATAGAACACTATCAAGCATTTAAAAATGAATGAACTATACTGATTAATGCAACAAGATAAATTTCAAAAACATTATGCTGACTTTCAAAGAAGTCTTATTTATACTAACTTCAATAGGGGAGGGTGTAACCGGAAAAGAACTTCCTACAGTGCTGGGTAGGAGTTTAGTTATTCAGTTGAATGCATCTGTCAAAACTCAGTGCTTAGACATTTATAATTTGTGCATTTTTTAAGCAGATTTATCTCAAAAGAAAAATCTGGAAAATCAAAAATAAATTCTGTGGAAGAATAATGTCTGTTAAAAATGACACAGTACCATTATACTTAGTAATAAAAATAAATTCAAGGGGCTGGGAATATGGCTCAAGTAGCGCGCTCACCTGGCATGCGCGGGGGCGCTGGGTTCGAACCTCAACACCACATAAAAATAAAATAAAGATGTTGTGGTCCACTGAAAACTAAAAAATAAATATTAAAAAATTCTCTATAAATAAATAAAATATTTTTTTAAGAAATAGAACCTAAATCAAGTATACAAATGAAAAGTATGACTCTTGCACTTACCCATATGTCTCTACGTGGCTTGCTCCCTTGTGTCCTTCAGTTACCTGCTAAAAAGCAATTTTAACAGAAAGGCCTAATGATCCTATTTTAACAAATACCTCTACATCCCTCACTTTCTATCTTTACATCTTATGTAATATTCATTCATAATCTTTTATCATCATCACAAGAACACATTTATTTGTCTTTCCATTGGTGGAAAGCAAACTCCACAGAAGTAGGCTATTTCTACTTGGTTTTATTATTGTTGTTGTTTATTTGTTTGTGGTATATTCTGAGCCTAGGACAATGCCTGATCCATAACTAGTATCCAATATTTGCTGAAGAAGCACAGGAATGAACATCACCAAAAATGTGAATTATACCTGGCAAAAATTCTAAAGAGATTTGCATGTGGGGTGGAAGGGCATTATTCCATTTCTAACATTCCACTCAACTGCAATCAACTTATGATTTGAAACATATTTTAATGAAAAGGTATTTGGTTTTAAAGGAGCAGACCAAATATATTGAGGTCTCCCTTCTTCTCTCATTACTCCAGTTTTTGGTCTGTGCCCACAGAGAGATTGGCATTTCCACTGAAATTCATCCACCTCACCCCATCATGTCTCTCCAGTCCTTACTACTCCCTTAGCAAGGAAGAGTGACTAATCTGGTAAATGAGAGTTTAATATTCATTTGGACACATTTTACTACAGAATGATATCTCTAAGTTAAGCTGCCCATGTTCTAGACAGTTTCCTGTCTCCTTCTCACTAAGGGATACCTAACCAGGTCTTGACATCTTCAGTGCCACCTCTGATTTGGCTAGGCTGTGTGAGGCATGTCTACAGGCCTTATTCGTGCTTCTTGTTGAATATGGAGTCTAACAACCTGGTTCACAAATCCAAGTCTCTGCAGGAAGCATAAGCAGACTCAGAGTGGGCAGTTTCAGGGCTGACTATATTCTCCAATACAGCTTTTACACCCCTATGAACCTTGAACTGAGGGTTATAGGATACTTGTTATAGATTACTAAAGTTTATATCAATGTCATATTTAAACAGTAGTTACTGAATATATACTATATCAGTCAAAACAACAGAGGAATTCTGCACTCCTCCAAGAAAAGTATAAAAGGAAAAAAAAAACAATAATAATAATCTAATACTCCATTGGTGTTGAATAACTTATTTTAATGAATTTGTCTTTTAATACAAGTGTAAAACAAGTGTTTAACTACGTTAAATCCAAACTTCAAAACTGACAAATAATTAATAACAAGTTAATTTTGAAAAGTTTTCAACTATAAGAATATCAAATATAACACAGAATTCATTTTAAGGCTATTATAATATTAAAAACAAGTTTCTTAGCATTCTTAGCATTCTAAGAGTATCAAAAGTGCTCCATGTGCCAAAAAGAAAATCATTTTTCATAAGCTATATGGTACCCGCTGGTGTTCACAGTTGTTAAAAAGAACTTTCAACTTGAATGATTTGAGTACTTCTAAGCCATCTAAAAGTTCTACCTGATACAGGTAGTATGTTCATGGTCTTGGTATAAGAAATCATGCCACAGAGTTTGAATGTTAGAACTGTACTTTTAAATCATAAAATAAAGAAACTCTAATATCATTTAGTACTTTTCTGGTTTATTTTGCCAATAAGAAACCAGATTTAATGTCATCATTCTTCAATCAAATAAGACAACCATGAGATTTCGGTTGATCTGTTTCCTAGCTGATTACTATCAAATGTGTACAATTCTCTTCAGAGCTGAGCATTTTCACATGAAGGTAATTGGTTTTCATTTAAAACAAAATAAATAATGCATGTACACATAGATTAAAACTAAATATAACCATATTTAATCTAACATGAAACATTCAAACAAAAAACTGAGAAAGTAGCCACTAGAAAGGAGATATGGAAGAAACAAATTTAATGGAGATAATACTTTGTGTTGAATCATTAAGACAACTGCTACCAATGTATTCAGAACAACCAAAGTCAGGGAGAACATGTGAAATGTGAAAATTTTCTCTACAGTTGAAATAAATGTGTTTTAAGGAGAGAGAAAGAGGGAAGGAAAAAAAAAGAAAATTCCATGTTTTGTAATCTTGGAAAACTGAAAAGTAATTTATCAAAAATTGTACCCCTAATTTTCTTGTGAGGAGGAAAAAAACAGTTTTTTAAACAAGGGCATGAAGCAGACTTCAAACTGAAATTCATACAACAATATTGTGTTCTTACTGAAAAGTACTATTAGAGATAAAATTAAGATAAATTTCAGGTATTTTCTATTTTAACGAGGGCAAAATTACAATGTTTATATAGCAAATATAAACTAGCAATTTATATCCATATATAATAGAAAGTATTTTAGGAAAAGTTAACGTCCTCAATGCTCAAAATTAAATTAGAATTTTAATTTTTTAATCAATTAACTTTCCATACCTAGGAATTAAACTTTTATTTACTTTTAAAAGTTTAATTCTGAACTAAAGCTCAAATAGATTCAGATTTTTTTAAATGCATGAAATTACCCAATTTTTTAAAAGTTTCAAATTTTTTTAATTTCTTTTATCAATGTAAACTATTCAAATAATCACAAGATACTTTATATCAGAAAAAAATTCACATGATATACTCATGACACTCAAGAATTACAATCAAGAAAGTGGTAGTCACCCTAAAACAGAAAGAATTTCTTTCTTTTTGTCACCTCCATTCCTTATATATAATCTTTATTTCACATCATCTACATAGAAATATTTATCACAATCTGATAGGTAGAAAAGAATTTTTTTTTGCCTTCTAGAGCTCAAGTAAATTTACTCAGTCTTCTTAGAATGTTTCCTTTTAACATTATCTGAACCATCGGTTATAGGTTTTGAGACTGATGAACCAGTGCCATTGGAAGACGATTTTGCTCCACATTTCTTTTCACACAATGAAAAATGGTGCTGCCAACCAAAGAGCATCCGACTCAATATATCTTCAAAAGGAGCAAGAGTCACAGAAGAAGTCTCTGTAATCATCATGGTTATCTGGGCAGAAAAAAAAAAGTGCAATTTTGAATTTAAGTACAACTGTTCTCTGTTTCTCAAAACCAAGAAAAGTAAACGAAAAGGAAAAAAATATTCAAAAGGCATTCTTAATTTACTCTGCAGGAGAACAAACTAAGCCACATTCTGGGGAAAAAATCTTTTCTCTATGGAAAAGAAGATAATTCATTTAAAAATAATAGAAGGTACCATATTTTTGGATGTCAAATGAACAGTATAACCATTTCCACATAAATAGTTTTCAAAGGGAAAAAAGATAAAATGTCATTTATAGTCTATATCAAAAACCAATACAGCTATTATTACTATGTACATTACAGAACTGTAATAAGTATTTTTTTAAATATTTATTTTGTAGTTCTAGGTGGACACATTATCTTTATTTTATAGCTATATGGAGCTGAGGATCGAACCAGTGCCTCGTGCATACTAGGCAAGCATTCTACCACTGAGCCACAACCCCAGCCCCCTGTAATTAAGTATTTTATATTATTATTCTCTTTCAATTTACTCCAACAATACTCTATTATTATTATCCTCATCATGAAGATCTAGAAGCAAGGCTCTGAGAGGTTCTGTAACTTGCCCAAAATCATAAAGCTAATAGTCAGTAAAGCAGTTTGCAAAACCTAAATTTTTAATTCAGTTACTAACTACTCTAACATTAACAGAAGTCACAGACTTTCAGTGAATTGCAGAATACTGTCCCTAACAGGGATGGCAGAAAGGATCTACCACCCAATTTTTTCATATATATTTAACTAAGACACCAAAAAGTAGAGGGAAAAGTGCTTCCAATTATTTATCTGGCAAAATTTGGTGTTAAGAGATGTTTAGATTTGCTCAAGAAATCAGACTGGTGCCAAAATGGATCATGGGAAGAAATTTAAGCTCTATAATTATTCCCCAAAGTCCAGCCATTCAATTACTCAAGTGTCAATTACTCCAGATCACAGAAATCAATCAAACCAGAAATTTTTGGAATCACATTTCTTTAAAAAGGCCCTACAAAATCCATGTTAGTGGGGGAAATCTTATCAAGAATAAATTATTATTAACTGCCACACATAAATCTAGATAGAGGCAAGCTACAAAAATAGTAGATGTCTATCAAGAGGCATAGAAAAGTGAAATTCACATTGTACCACAGTTAAAAGTGATTAACAGAAACACAATAGCGAAAAAATATTAGGACATATAATTAAGTAGAAATCGGAACAAAAGCTACACTGTTCTATCATTTATATAAATTAAAAACTCACACTATTGTGAATGTAATTAAAACACCACTGAAATGTTTACTTTTAAATAACTATTTTTTATGTGAATTTGACACGAAAACAAACTTTTTTTTAATGCACCCACACAGATTTCAGACCAGCCATGGCAACATATCTTACATCAGACTTAAGTCTCACATCAAAATCAATGTAAAAGACAAAAATACATAAAACAACTGCTAAAAGCCACTCGATAACAACCAGTACGGCAGAATCTCATGGCGCTATTATCCCTAATAGAAACGAAGCTGAAAAAAGTGAGCTCCACATTCACCATGGCCTTTTCTTTTAAGAAAATGTGCTAATTCACAGGAATAGAAATCAGAAGTCTTCAGGGCTAAGGAGACAAAATCTAGAGCCTGAGAAAGCCAAAATATCTAGGATGTGAGGGCATCACAAACCAAAGAACAGGGAACCATGTGGACAGTGAGCCAAAAATCCATGTGTATAAAAGAATCTGTAGCCAGACTTTAAATTTTTGCCAATCTGATAAGCAAGAAATGGTATCTCAGTATTATTTTATTATTGCTTGCCAGGGCACTACAGCCGGCTTGCTGCAGCTGGACTGCGGCAATTGCTCAAATTATGAATTTCATATTGTTTCATATGTTTGAGGGACATCTTTATATCTTATCCGTGTGCATTAGTGATAACTTGTTCAATTTTTTTATTAGGTCTTGGTCCTTCATCCTTGTTATACATAAAGGATACCAGCCCTCTATGATATATGTTCTAAGTATTTTACACAGTTTGACAGCTGAATTTTGATTCTGTCCACTTTGGGTTTTGCCAGGCAACTTAAAAAAAAAAAAAAAAAAAAGTGACTGAGTCAAATTTATCAGTCTTCAACCTTTTCTTTGTAGAAAACAAAGTAAGCCCAAAGTAGATAGAGGAAAGGTATAATAAGGACCTGAAAAGTAATGAGACATAAAACAGAAAACCAATAAACCAAAAGCTGGATCTTTGGAACAAACTGATGAAATTAAGAAAACTCTAGCTAGAATGATATGTATTTTACTGGGGATTGAACCCAGGGCTTATAAATGCTAGGCAAGCATTCTATCACTGGCCACTTCCCCAGCCCTAGTTAAATTAATTTTTAAAAACAAAATTTTTATTTAATGCCAAAACTTTAGATGAAAATGTACTACTGTATAAAGCAAAGCTGTTATTATACTAAACATTCTTCAGCAGATCAATATTTATATGCATAGCCTATTAACTGTAGTCATATTACACTATTATTAAATACTGCGATGAAATCAATGACCAGAAGGAAGGAATCTAGCTTCTTAATGTACCATTACTAGGGACTGCCCTGACATTGTTATCCTGCATCAACAATTAGAAGACAGAGGGGCTGAGGATGTAGCTCAAGTGGTAGCACGCTCACCTGGCATGCGTGAGGCACTAGATTCGATTCTCAGCACCACATAAAAACAAAATAAAGATATTGTGTCCACCTAAAGCTAAAAGATAAATATTTTAAAAAAAATTAGAAGATAGAGCCAGCACAGTGGCACACTTCTGTAATCAAAGTGGCTCAGAAGGCTGAGGCAGGAGAATGGCGAGTTCAAAGCCAGCTTCAGCAAAAGTGAGGCACTAAGCAACTCATTGAAACCCCGTCTCTAAATAATGTACAAAATAGAGCTGGGGATGTGGCTCAGAGGTTAAGTGCCCCAGAATTGAATCCCCAGTAGCCACCCCCCACAACAAAAACCCAATCAGAACCAGGGTGTCTACTTGACTTCTCAGGGACTACACTTGGTAGTTTTCCACCATTAGAAGAGCTAGTAATTATGAAACATTTGTTGAGTTACTAGAATTGCCATTAACAGTGTTTCCTTTCTCATATTTTATGCTTTCTGCCTCTGTATAGATGACTATCATGTATTTACCGAAGCTAGTAAGCAATGACTTATTTAGATGTAAAAATGGTCAAGCAATATAAGGTTACAACTTATTTAAGTAACAGTACTTTATCTTATATTTTCATTTGTTTATTAAAACTGCTTTTCCAAATATAAGACTATGTTAAAGACAAAACGAAGATATAAACTACCAATACCAGAAATGAAAGTGGAAATATTAGTACAAATTCTTTAACTATTGAGTCTAATTTTATGCCAACAAATTTTTTTTAAAAACCTTAAGTCAAATAGCAAATTCCATGAAAAATACAACTTACCAAAATGTATATAAAATAGAAAATCTTATTAGCCCTGTAACTACTTAAAATTGTCCTCAGAAACTTTCCTCAAAGAAAACTTTAGTCCAAATGGTTTCACAGGTGAATCTATCAAACATTTATTAAGAAACAATATCAAATCTATATAAATTCTTTTAGAAAGTAGAAAACTGAATACTCCTCCACTTATTTAATGAGTTCTATTTTAGGTTAACAACAACAACAAAAAAAAGACAAAATTACAAAGAAAACTTCAAACCAACATCATGAATACACAGGAGGGGGAAAAAAATCCTTGAAAGACATTAACAAATTGAATCAAATAATACACAAAAAGGATACTATATCAAGATTCAATGAGGTTTACTACAGGAAATGAAAGGTTGATATAACATTTTAAAAAATTAATTCAATCCACTATATTAACACAATTCATGGGGAAACATCATGATTATTTCAATTGATGCTAAAAAAAAAATCTTTGACAAAATTTTATACCCATTCATGATAAAAACTTCCAGCAGAGAACTTCCTCACATGAGGGCATATATAAGACCTTATAGGGCTGGGGTTGTGTGGCTTAGTGGTAGAAAAAATTGCCTAGATTCTACGATCCTCAACACCACATAAAAATAAATAAAACAAAGGTATTGTATCCATCTAAAACTTAAAAAAAAAATTAAAAAGACCCTTCTAGCTAACATCATACTTAATGGTAAAAGGTTGAACATTTTCCCTCAGAGGCCAGGAAAAAGACAAAGTCATCCACTCTCACCATTTGTATTCAATACTGTACAGGAGGTTCAAGCCAACTCAAGATTTGAAAGAAAACAAAATCATCCAGGTAAAAATGGCAAAGGAAAATTGTTTACCATAGACAAGGTCAGGTATGTAGATAATACTAAGGAATCTATACAAAAAATTATCCGAACCAAGTGAATTTAAGCCAAGATACAGAATACAAGAACAATGTGCAAGAATCAATTGTATATCTACATATAAGCAATGTAAAGTTCAAATTTGAAATTTTGAAAATTACTATCATAAAGTCAATGTAAAATTCAAAATTGAAATTTTTAAAAGTACTATTCATAAAGGCATCCAAAAAATATGAACTACTTCAGGATAAATTTAAAGTTAACAAGATACATGTAAAACAATAAAAACCATAAATGCTTACTTCCTAAAAATTAAAGAATACTTCAGTAAATGGAGAAATACATCATGCTCATGGATCAGCAGACTCAATATTTTTAAAATGTAATTTCTCCCCAAATAGATCTACAGATACAATTTCAATTCTTTTTTTAATGGCATCCATATTGACCAGGTTGGTCTTATACTCCTGGGCTCAAGGAATCATTTCTCCTCAGCTTGGAGTAGCTGGGACTCTTGGCCATGTGTCACTGAACCCAGTTGGCTTTTTAAAATAGAAAATAACAACATAATCAAAAAATGTATTTGGAAATGCAAAATACCTAGAATATCCAAAGAAATACTAAAAAAAATGTTGA